ATTGGATATACATGCTGAACAGTGCGTCAAACACTGGCGATGCTTATGTGCTAAAAGGCTAACCAGAAGCTAAGGAAACGTGTGATAGCTCTTGTCAAAGAGGCGCAAAACAACGAGCAAGCTGCCACACAGCACAAGGCTAGGGAGGCGCGCCGGACGCTGGATCGTCAGGTCCGCTTCTGGCTTGAGGATGCCCCTCGGATTATGGGTGAGCTGGCGTATGAAGTGCCGGATACAAAAGCTGGTGGAGGGCCGGAAGACCAGGTGCTACCTCTGCCCTCTTACTTTGGCAGGGTTCTTTGTGAAGAGCGTGGGTTGACGGCCCTTGTTCAGCAAGAAGCACGACTTCGGAATGGTCAAATGAATGACGCACTTGTCGAGGTCAAATTGGGGGTAGGAAGAAAATCGATGGTTTACAGGGAAGACATCCGAGGGGCATCCGGAAGCGTCAAAAAGCGTACTCGAGCTCAGGACAAACTGGCTCGGGCAGCGGCTGATCTTCGCCTGCGTGCTGATATCTATAGATTGGCTCGGAAGGCAGCTGACCACCTTGGTGGACTTGATCCCAAGTACCAACCACTAGAAGAGAAAGACTTGGAGGCAAGATCAGCCGCAATCCATGCGAGTGTCCGGGGCACCAAAAACGAACATCTACCTTGGATATGGCGAGTTGAAGTTGAGGAGGCAGAGAGGAGTGACAAATCAAAGTTCATGGACACATGTACGTTGTCCGGATTATGGCGAGGCAGAGACTGAAGCCACATGCAGTTGACCGGATTCAATGGATGCGTGCCAAATGCCGGAGGGATCGCTGGGAGGAAGAACTTATTCTTCTCCACGAGGAGATGAAACGAGTGCCCAAATCATTCATGCACGAAGCCACACAGTGGAAACATCGTGCCAACGAGGGAGAAGGGTGGTATTCAGCGTTTGCTCATAGTCAGCACGCAAGGTGGATGAACTTGAAAGCCATGGCGGATGGGATCTTCAGCACCCTGCCGGACGCACCATCCGGTGTGCTTGCATAAAGGACCGGACGGATACTTGGCCAATGAATGCATCATTAATTTCGTATCCGGCCGCTTTGATACACATACATATCGCCTCTTGATTCCCAATCACAACAAGGGATGTTGCTTGTAGTCATCTTTCAAGGACTCATTCCTATCGTTTCTTAGGCAAATACCACATTTTTATGCATCGGACTCAAGGTCAGCGGCTTACATCGCGATTTTTGTGTCCCAACAAATCTCAGCTGTGGATGTGAAAGAGCGCTGATATTACTAATGGAATAAATGTACAGGATAATGCGCAACTGGTTGATATGTCCATGGATTATACCGAGTACTCTAGCTTGACTGAAGGAGGAGCTCATGAGCCCTAAACAATTATTCGATATAATCTAAGCTACTTACTTTCGTGCTTCTTTGCATCACTAATCTTGCAGGCTGCTTTTGTGAGGTCTTCTTGAATGACGTACTCACCATCATCATGTATAGCAAACATGCTAGCCTAAGTGTAAACACTTTGTAACAAGAAGTCAATGTCAGCCAAACCCATCCGGCACACGAAGTATACAACGCTACTATACAAGTTGAAGTTAACATCCGACATGAATTTTGAACAGAACACTCAAGCAGACTTAGAGGATCGTATAGCGAGACAAAGATGCTTATTCGACGATGATCATGCTAACAAAGTACATTTAAAATTCGTAATAAACCCGCCTCGGCAGCCTGGACGCCGGACCAGTAAGACCGAACTGGAAGGTCACCTGCTCATCCGGGCGGGATGCCGGTTCACCGGTAGCCGCTCTGTGCTGAACCTCCCTTTGGTCAACTGTGTCACGGACAGCCTGCCGGAGGGTCTCCATGCCCCGGACATCTTCGAAGGTTTGCTCCGCAGAGTCAAACAGCGCAGTCAGAGCCTCCGGGTTGACAAACTCGAGCATGTACTTTACCTGCTCGGAGAAGCGACGGGATGCAGGGATGATCGGGATGCCCCCTCCTTCGTGGATGGCACGAGGCAGAGGGGCAACCGGATGGACGGTTGAGATGGACCCAGACCGAACCGGAGCGCGAGGGCGGCCTGAAGCCTCATCGCCAATAGCCGGACGCTTGGGGTCATGCTTTGCTGGGGATGGGGCCGACATCCGGCGCTTGGCCTGCCCAGCCGTGGTGTCGTCCGGCTCCACCATGGGGGTGTCAGGCTGGTCCAATGCCAAAAACGATGAGTTGGGGGCAGGATGGTTGGGAGAAGGCTCTTGCATAGCCGGATGAACAGAACGAGAAGAGAGGTCACCGTCTTCCTCAGGGTCCGGATGATCCACCGCAGTCTGTGGATCACCGGATGGTGCCTATGTTGCATCCGGACAGGTTTGACATCATTATGGATGAGGAATTACATTTATTATAAGATTGACAGAAAGGCTTACCGACGGAGTTGGAGGGGCAGCTGAGGTGCCGGACTGAGCGCCGGATTGCTCTTGACCACCGGATGGTCCGGACGGCGCCTGAGGTTCTGCATTCGATGGTGTTGAGGGCGCAGGACCCTGTGCCGCCTTGGAGTTGGCTGCCTGAAAGAGTGAGAGCGCCTTGATGGCGGCCTGGGCACGAGCTGCTGTGCACTAACATTAACATATTGTGATAGACAAAGATGTTTGCGTACGATCTGTAGGCGCCCCCTGCTGCTTGTTTGTGTCCTTCACCTTCTTCTTCTTCTGCTTCTGCTGCTGCTGCTGTTCCGCTGGCACGGTCCGAGGACAACGCGGTGGTATTTCATTACCAAATTCTGTATACTTGTCAGTCGAGAGCACATGGAGTAGAGAATGTGGGACTTACGTTCACCACCAGACGACATTTTTCGAGAGAGGTGGTGGCAGGAGGGAAGGATGGGGATCAGGCGACCTGTGCTTGAAACCCCGAACGAAAACCTCGTGTCTTACCAAAAGTGGCAATTCAGCATGCTCCGACCGGTGCCGGCGGACGGCCGCGTGGCCCAAGTTTTTTTTTCGTACATATACCATGCAATTTTTGGGGCACTTCCCTTGCCCCTCCACACCGTACACGTGAAGATGCCTGAAGACAGTTTAGCATCTGAAGCCTTACCCGCCCCCCTCCAGTTTGTGCCATCGTTGATAGTGCCGGATGCTTGGTCATCGTCCGACATTGGAGCCCAGAGGTCAACGTCCAACGGCGAAGACTTGATTCTGACAGGTCCAAACTGGATCGCCGAGGCATATCGTACATTCCGTCTTACCGGCTGGGGAGTATCCTGCATTATCAGACTGGTCGCTCTCCGGTTTCATATGGCTCACGACGCGAAAGCAGCAGTCAGACCATCACGCGATGACTTCGAGTCGCCGTGGTTCAAAGACGTCGTGAGTCCTCAACTGTAACTGAACTTTCATCCGACTGATCCGGCGCAGGATACTCTAACAGGTATTATTCGGTGCTTCAACTTCCTTGGCATCCGGTACGAGGTCCCTCCGATCTTGCGCCTCATATACTTTGCAAAACTTCCCGTCAACCACCATAAATGGATTCTGGAGTCGGAAAAACCATGCCGGAAATGGCTTTCCGAGAACTATATCTGGGGCGACTACGTTGGGGAGAATCGTTGGTGGGCGAATCTCAAACCGAAGCGAGGTAGCCCACCCCCGAGTGCGATCCGGATGCTGCTACCTCGCCGTGGGAGGGACTACATTGAAGTCGACTCCAGCAATGAGGAAGATGTCAGTGTTAGTGCCAATGTTCGGAAAGGCAAGAAAGCCACCCACCGTCCGACGTCCGGACGTATGATGGGCTCTGCTCATCCCGCCACCCATAGTTCAAAGAAACGACAGAGGATTGTAAGGCGCAAACGGGCTGGGGGCATCTTAGGCACCGGACGTACTCATAAGAGGCCTCGGAGGGAGCCAGTTGCAGGTTCATCCCGCAACAATGAGGATCTGTTAGATTTAGAAGCTGAAGAAGCCGGATCATCAGAAGACTTGGAGTTGGAGGCGGGAGAGTGGTCCGGTGAGGGAGAAGGAGTTTGGATCGGATCGGACAACGATAACGAATATGTGACAACTCATGTAGGTTTCACAGTTTCACATATATTCTTACAGTGACTTACACTTTGCATAGCATGGGACCATCGTTCTGTCTTCCAGCGCGTCAGAAACTGAGTCAGTCATACAGATCACCGACTCACCTCGTCCGGTTGACAGGTTGCTCGCCAACCCGGACGATGAATATGTTCCGAGCTCCGACATCTCTTCTGCTGGCGATGTGATAGGGTCGGACAGTGACAGTGAGTGTTTATGTTCAATCCGACGCCGCACCACTGAACATCAACTCAGTCGACATTGATGAAAGCCTTGACCAAATGGAACTTGCCACAGCAAGGATGCAAGTTGCTCTCGATATCACTCTCCTCCATCTCAGAAGGCGAGGCTTTTAAATTTGTCACTTCAGCTCACCAATACCGGTAAGCAATCCGGGTCCGGATTCGTGTCCGGATCTGGGATTGCTCAGAAGATTAGCAAAGAAACAACACCAAGTAAAAGTTGTATTCAGCTTGTAATATGGATGTGGACTCTGTCCGAAGTTATACAATACATAACAAGTTGAAACTACTGAGTTTTGTGTCTTTAAGTCCCACAGGGTCAAGGCAGAGATATTGGTTGAGTTGTACGTTCATTAAGTTCCGCCCGCTTACATAGATCCGGCCTAAGGGCACAGCTTGTTCAACTTGTACATGTGCTGCTGTAATGAATAAGACCATCATGCAGTGTATGGACAGATTCTGTCCGACAGAATAATATTTATGCATTCATACTAGCCGGATGTAAGTTGCCGGATCAGTCGTCTGATGCAAATTGCACTACATATGCCGGATTGGCTACCTGGTACTTACTTCAATTGTAGCCATATGAAGAATCAAGCACTCGTTGAAATCTATGTAAAACATGCTTTTGAAGGTACGTAACAAAGATCATATTGGTTCAACTACGCCCTACGCGCGTCCGGCACTTCAATTCCAATCGGACTGACAAGTCCCCTCAAATGCTCGACTGTGACGCCGGCATCAAGCCTTCGCTCCATCTCGTCCAACCTCCGGTTGATCTCCGCGATGGTTGCTCGGAGTGCGTCGATGGATGCGTTGACTGATTCCACCCGATCCGACGATGGCTGAGCGGCAGTCGCCGATGACGAGGCAGTCACCCTTTTGGCTCGGACTACAAAATCATTAGAGGGATGTCCTCGAATCGAAGTCAAGCTCACCTGTGCGTCGCGAGCCGGAACCGGATGACCGCTCACTACTCCACTGCGCTTTGAGCGCGTCTATGTTGCGTACGGCTCTGTCATAGTGTTTGGCCTCTATCCGGCGTACACGGTCAGTTGTCCGGATGTAATCAAACTCGGCCCTCATGTTCATCCTCTTCACGCTCTGAGGTCCGGGCTTTGTCTTCGCGAATGGGCACGGATCCTTGGTGATAAAGTGGCAGACGAAGCACCCTGCGTCCGACCGACCAATGCACCGCGTCTTCTTTTTGGAACAAGACTGGCAGCATGTCCAGTGCTCGACGTATTCCGGCGCCGCCGCCGGATCCAGGCTGTACCATGTGGATGGTGGGATCGTATCCTTGCACCTCAGTCCGAGGTTACGGGCATATCTGACAGTGACTGCGGGTGCAGTGTCCGGAACATCGGGCGCCTCGGCAGTCGCTTCCGCCGTCTGGCTAGGGGGACCGGATGGCGAGACTGGATGGTGGCTGCTGAAGTAGGTGCTGGGGCTGATGGAGGGAACCAGCGGTGCCGGGGGAGGGGTGGATCCGGCAGAACGATGAGCGGCGGCGCTGTCATCGTCGTCCGACGGCGCATATGGCTTATTCCACCAGATGGTGTCGTCGACCATCTCCCACCACCTCCCCGTGCCCACACTCGTCGGATCTTCGAAGCCGGGTGGGACCTCAGCCGAAGGGGGTGGAACAAAATCCGGACTAAAGGGCAAGATGGGGGCAGATACCAGGAACGCCTGAATGAGGGGGGGGTGGCCACCATGCGGCTAACGACCGGAACGAGGGCGTGGAGCTCGACCTAGTAACATAAGAATCAGGTACGGTAGCAAAGGTAAAGGACTTACAAGCATTTCGAACCAATAGGTCGTCCACGCAGTCTCCTCATCCTCCTCTGAAACCTCGACGCGTGTCTTGTAGGCGTGGCTTAGTCGACCCTCGACAGTCGACATAACGCGTTCAGCATCGTCCGGCGTGACAGGCGGCCAGACTAGCCCGAGTCTAGCGAGACAGGTAGGAAGGGAAGGGATGTCGGGATTGGATGGAGTGGTCGACATGGGGAGGGCTGAGACAAGTGGTGAAGGGGAAAGAAGGGAGACGCGACGCGTCGCCATTAAATTGTGTTTGTTTGGTTCCACGGAAGCCTGTGTGCTTCTCCGGCAAATACCAGAATGAAATCTATTTATTTTGACACGTGTATTGTTTGC